TAAATAATGGCATTAAATTATTGAATCTCTGAGAATGTTGATTGATCACATCTTAACCATTCATCTCTGTTACGTGAGTGTAACACTGGCAGAATTCAACGTTTCAGATGCCTACATCGGCTGTTTCAAATTCATCAGCTCTAATAATTCGCAACCTCATGTCGTTAGTAGCATTATAGAATGTTCCAGAACTTGCACTGACCTGGGAAGCACTCACATGATCGCCTTAAGGAGAGGAAGAGATTGCTTCTGCGTCGACAGAATGGATGCCGCTGTAGCTTCATCCCAGTGTCACGTCCGCTGCCCAGATGGCAGGGCGTGCGGTGCGATGGATACTTATTCAGTATACAAACATCGGCGAATGCTGATACACGATGTTGCTTATTTTTCCACTAAAGATTACCTACCTGTTGAGAATAAACCGTTTACACCTGCTTCTTTAGAAACGTGTGCATTTTATTGCTTACATCGCGAATCTCCCTTTTTCTGTGTACAAGCTGTTTACGGATTCTGCACATGCAAAAATTGTATGTTCTATGCAAATTATTTTCCATTAAAGCCGGATGTATTTGAATGCAATGTGAGGTGTCCGCACGATGAGAACGAGATTTGCGGCTGTCACCAAAAAAGTGGCCGAGACAATAGTGCGGTCTACCTGACTCGTTTCAAATATGAGTTCCAAAAGGGCACCTCTCTTTTTGCTCGCTGCCGAGATAGGGGTTGGATTAATTTGGTTTTTGACATTCCAGAGACATGCACGTACGGATGCAAGGAGGGATGGAAAGACGGTAAAAGGCCATGCATGGAAAGAGATTGCTCTTTCAATAACGGAGACTGTGGAGCATTGAAATGCATTGAATCAGTGGTCAATGGTTACTCGTACATTGAATGTGTCTGCCCGTATGGCCAGGCTAGAAATAAAATGGATGAGTGTGAAGTTTTTAGGCTAAACTTAGCCTTTAAAAGAAAATCCTACCTTAGCTCAACACTCAACCATTCACATTATGGACTTTTAGATGCAATTCATTTAACTGACGGCATATACGATGGCTTCAAAGGCGCTCAGATCAATGATAACATCGCCGCTTGGATTGCAGTTGAACTCGAGATGTTATTTTGCGTTGGTTATGTTAAAGTTTATAAAAGATACTGCGTGAGTCTAAAGAAGTGTGACGAAATGAATGGTTTTGTCGTCTCACTGAATGTCACGTGAAAGCTTTTTTCCTTCGAAGTTCGTCATAATCCAGCAGGCAGACGACCTGTTTTGGTTAGGAAGCACAGCTGTGGCCGAGTTAGAAGTCTATGAGGCTGGTTGCGACGTTGATAACGGAAAATGTGGAGAGAAGAGGTGCTCAGAAATCCGAGAGGGAAATGCTACCGCCATCAGCTGCAGTGAATGGAACGATACCGAGTTGGTGTCGGTATCGGCCCCTTTCTACGGCTGCTACCAAAAAGTAGACTTCATGGGTACATTAGTGTGGCCAACCGATTATGAACAATGCAATGCCGAATGCAAATTGAAGGATGAGTTGTCTGTGA